ACTAAAAGTTGTTTAGTTAAGGTAGCCTTACACATTTATGGGGTCATCCCTATAGATGTGTGGCATTTGTTACGTCTTGACCTTGGGGTTGGGGCGTGACAAATTTTGTGGTATCAGAGCCAGGTTGAGTTCTTAGGACATGAGTGGGTGCGGGTAGGCATAGAATTGGGGCATTTTGCATTTAGTATTTTAAGAGTATTGTAGATATTGATATTGTGTGAATTAATCCAATTATATTTGTTTGTAAGTAGTTGTGTTAAGACTATGGCTGGAGGGAATCGTGGAATGGGCCGTAGGGGTAGACCACCCCTAAGTGGACGAGTTGGGGGCAGAGTTCCATTAGTTGCCAGGAGTGAACCGATCAACCGAGATGAGGTTGAGGTTGGAGTGGATGAATCATTGAACTCGTCAGCAAGGAACCATGGTCAGCATGATGTGAATGTTGGCCAAACTCAACAATTGGGGCAACAAGATCAGCCAAGCTTTATGGAGATTATGCAGACTATGGCAAGGACCATGGCTGAACAACAGGAGCTAGTTAAGTCTCTAGCAGAGCAACAGGCAAAGGTTATTGTAAAACAGCAGGGAAAGGTTTCAACTTCACAACTTGTCCAAAAGGGAGGCCTAGCAGAGTTTGTCAAACTAGCTAAGCCTTTCTATGGTGATTCAAAAGATCCATTGGAGGCAGAAAGTTGGATCAAAGAAATGGAGAAGACTTTTCGAGGGCAGGGTGTCACAGAAGAGAATAAGGTGCCTTATGCAGCATACTTGTTGAAAGGTGATGCAAACAATTGGTGGGAGGTTGAGGAAAGTAACCTTACTCCCCCGATTGACTGGCACACCTTCACAAAGGCATTCTTGAAGGAGTATATGCCTGAAAGTGATAGACATGAAATGCAACAAAGATTCCATACTCTTGACCAGGGTGACAAAACGGTGAAGGAATATGAAAAGGAATTTAATCGCCTTTTGAAGTTTGCCCCATTAACTACTCAGAAGGACGAGGAGTCAAGGAGGTTGAAATTTCTTTATGGACTTAATCCTCACATTTTGTCTGAGGTTCAAAAATTTGAAGTAAGTACTTATTCTGCAACACTTAACAAGGCTAAAGTGATAGAGCAGGGTCATAAAGTAATTAAGGCAGCTGAAGGTAGTAGCAGTGGAACTAAGAAGCAGAAATGGTCAGGCCCTCAAGGTGGGAGAAGCTTTGGAAATCAGAGTTTTACTTCAGATAAGAGGCAATATACTGGATATTCTGGGGTTAGAACTCA